TGGCACATTAGTATATGTGAGGGGGCAAACTCCTCAAGATGGGTGGTGACCATGGTGGCCATTTAGAAGTCGGCCATCTTGGATAGAACTTTTGTTTTTTCAATAGGAAGAGGGCCATGTGACACATCAAACTTATTGGTAATGTCACAAGAAAAACAATGGTGTGCTTGGTTTCAACGTAACTTTATTCTCTGGGATCTGGATCATACTCGTTGAGATGCTGCAGTAGCTGGAGTTTGTAAGGGTGCCATTTGTGAGTAGCTAATATCTGCCGAAGGGATGTTCGACTAATGCCACTCTCCAGTGACATGTGGCGAGTGCTACGCTGTGGGCTTTCTTGCGTCCACATTTTGGAACCAGTTTCACGAAACTTAGCAAGCAGTTTGCTAACTGTAGCATGGGAGATGGGTGGTCTCGTAGGGTGTCTTGCATTGAAATCTGCTGCAATGACCCGGTTACTGCGTTCACCCGATATCAACGCAATTTCGTTCTGCTCCTCACGTGTTAACCTCTTCGACATGTCAATGGCTGTGAACAAAGAGAAACTTGTAAATAACTCATGAAAGAATAAAGTTACGTTGAAACCAAGCACACCATTGTTTTTCTTGTGACATTACCAATAAGTGTGATGTGTCACATGGCCCTCTTCCTATTGAAAAAACAAAAGTTGTATCCAAGATGGCCGACTTCTAAATGGCCACCATGGTCACCACCCATCTTGAGGAGTTTGCCCCCTCACATAGGACTTTAATATCACCAACCATTGCCATTTTATTACGGTGTATCCATATAAATGGCCCACCTTGTAGTTTAAAAATGTTACTTTAACTGAAATCCATTTAAAAGAATGAAAGAATATCCTTCTCATGATGTCTGTGAAAAGAAAATTTGGTCCCTGAAGCCAAGAGGTTTTTCTAAGCCTCGACCCAAGTATCTCAGTCCCTTCCTTTGGCAGATTCAAATCTCAAACTCGAAACTCGATTTAAAGAGGACAAACTCGAAACTCGAAAATATCCTTCCATTAAGGTTTCAGGCTGGACAGTAGCCCAGTTACAACATGTCCTAAAAGAGAGAGGGACAAACTTTCTCTTTCTCTGCCATCTGTCCATCATTTGCAAACTGGCACCGGGTTGCCAGTTTGTTGCTCCACTATCCCTCCTTTCCAGTAAACAGCAGCAAACTTTTCTTGGCACTGCGTTGTCAGTTTCTCTGCCATTGCTCCCTATTTTCTTGCTTTCTCACACAAATAAAAGCTGCGCCTCTTTTTTAGGAGATCCGGACTCCACAGTGTGCATAATTCCTCAAGGCATACCTTCACTTCTCAAATGCTTTCACTAGCATCACTTAAACCCTCTCTCCTGGACACAGTCATTCAGGACAGCTACTTCAAGACAAACTCACATTTCTTCACAAGCCGTTGGGTCATTACCTGGAGCATCAAAAATCCCAGCATGCGCCCAGCAGCAGAGTTTCTGTTAAGAGTTGAGTCGCATCGCTATTCCTCTATCAATGTCTGTCATCGTCCAGAATTTCTTCTGATCTCTTCTCCTGCCATTCCTTCCAAATTTTTCCAGCACATGCGCCATTCAATGGAATCCCTGACCACCCCATTAAGGTCACGGGTTGCTTATCATTGCAAATGATTGCTTATCGTTGCTTATCAAACCTGCCTGCCTGCCAGTCATATTTTTTGGAACAGTCTTCAACCTTTGTAACATACAAGCATTACTGGTTCTAGGGCAGGGGTGTCCAACTCCAGTCCTCGAGAGCTACTGTCAACACAGCCGAGTCAAATGATTGGATCACCTCTTCAGCATGCCATCAAGTTTGGCAACAAGGCCTGGTAACAAGCCATTCATTTGATTCAGGTGTGTCGGAACAAAGATGCATTTAAAAGCTGCTGGACAGTAGCTCTCGAGGACTGGAGTTGGAAACCCCTGTTCTAGGGGATGCCCTCTCTGGGGATCTGTCTGGCCTGGGAGACACTACCAGTCCCCTCTGAGGCCTCCCCCAAACCTCAGTCTCTATTCAAGCCATTTGCCATCACCTACTAGAAATGCTGTCAAACCTAAAATGAGAATGTAGTCCCAGCTAGTGAAATCTGGCCCGTGTTTAGAATTGCCACTTGTGAAAAAATGAGACATGATGGAACAAAATAGACATTATTTTTGAAACCAGGAACCCAAGATTAGCATAGATAATCTGATATGAGTGTTAGCATCATATGATCTTCCACATATCCAAAGTTATAATGGCAGCAGGCTTCCTAAAATATTCTCTTCAGCATAATCCACATCTGCTTCTTCCTGTTTCCAGTCCAGGATAGATGTATAATCCCTCCAACACTTCCTGGATCTCCCCTCATTGCCCAGAAATCCTGGAATTCCATTTGAAAAAACCTCAGTGAAAGTGAAATTCTGAAATCTAGTGCTGGATAAAATCATCTGGAAGCAGGAAATTGTGGCCCCCTTCTGGAGCCAGACATGAATCCACATAACAGACCAGAATCTAATATGTTGTTATTATTATGAAACCATTTATGGTTTTCAGTAGCAGCTTGTTTCCCCGTTGCCACACTTCCGATGTCTTAGACCCGGAATAGCACATTAGAGACCTTTCTTCTCCACTTGGCTGCTCATAATTAGCGTTTAAAGGACACATAGTGAACGTGGCATCGACACCAACTTAAAGAAGTAATTAAACCGCTGATCCATCGGGCCAATCAGAACAGAGTGTTCTCCCCCCTGCCCCTGTAAGATGTGAAGCAGCTTCGGAGCAGTGGAGCAGACATTCATTCATATGAAATTGTTGTGGCTCAACACAATGTGTGAGAGCAGCGTGAGATGGCAGCCATTTTAAATTAGTAAGCAAACAACATCAAACAATGCCAGAATCAATACACACACACACACACACACACACTGCTTGCTGCACATGTTTTTATGGATTTCCACAGAAAAATGGTCAGTCTATAAAACTCTCCACCCCTGTGTGTGTGTGTGTGTGTGTGTGTGTGTGTGTGTGTGTGTGTGTGTGTGTGTGTGTGTCGATGCGGCAGATGCAAGCTCTTGTCTTCACCTTCCTCATCACATGGTTCACACACAGTGTGTGGTTACCAAGACAACAGGTATTGGAGTGGATAGAGAGCCCTGGGATTGGTGTGTGTGTTTTGTGTGTGTGAGAGAGACAGGTGGAGTTACTGTGTATTCTGTGCTCGCTCTTCCTGCTGCTGCAGATTGATCGAGCTCTGAAATGGCACGAGCAGTGAAGCATGCAGCCAGGCTTTACCACGCTGTAGGACTCAAAGTGTGTGTTTGTGTGTGCTTGCAATGTGGGTTTTTAGGTATAATGATTTTAATGCGGTCACAGGATGTCGTCCAAGGTGACTCCTCAGAGGAAAAATGGTCATCATCTTCATCAGCAGTTGCACGAGGTAGAACAGACAAAGAGAGTGAAGATGAGGAAGAATAGGAAAATTAAGCAATGTTAATTAAAGTTAATCAATGCTGCAGTTTAGCATGTTAAACCAGAACCAGACCTATCAATTAAACTCATTATCTTGACTGTAGCGGTCGCCTAAGCGATAGACTTTGTTCTTTCACTGCAGGAGAAATCTGTGTTCTCTTAATAACATTAATAACATATAAAAGGCGTTCCTCTGCAAATACAGGCCCAGTTTGTGGCAAATAAACAATAAAGCAATAACGAGCTGCCTCTCCAGTGAGTCCCACTTTTAAAGAGAGCGTTCAGCAAACAGTGCTGAAAGAACTGTTGCAGAGGCAGCTGAATGATTTTGAGGACAACCACAACTACAAGCAATCTCCTGGAAATCCAAGCTGAAATAAGCCAGGGATGCCTGGTTATCAGCGGCTGAGCTTACAAAAAAGGGCAAGTGCATTGTACACTTTTAAATCATTCTCTTGGATGAAAGGGATAAAAAAAATGAGTTGTCTCTCAGTGGTTGCCTCTCTGTTGACCAAATTAACTGATTAGATGATCATTAAGCAGCTGCTACCCAGTGCCTGTCTATTTAAATCTGACCTGTTCACGTCTTAGTGTGCTCATGTCCTCCTGGGATCACGATTTTCTCTTTTGAAGTTGTTTTTAGACTGCTTGTATCAGTCTCAAGGTCAAAGTGGGCTCAGTAGTATATCACTTCTAGTTCAGTGACATATGTGGCTGGTAGACTGACAAATCTGTGATCAAATTTACCATCACTGAAACCATTTTAAAGCATTTACTACAGTAAGTATAGAATATAATCTGCATATTAAACTCTGAATCAGGAGTGACATGGTGCAAGATAAATTTATGTAAAATATTTGATGGTTTCAGTGTGATACTCCTTTGTTTGAGTCTGCCCCATCCAGTGGCTTGAATCACTGTGCAGAGCAGGTTAAGGCAGGTGATGCTACATGGAGGATGTGGTTGGAGCAGGATGATGCAATCTTTGATCTCACGTCTAGGTCTCTGCAGACACTGCTCTGGAGTTCAGGCAATCTCCAGTTAATCACTGCAACCCTTATTTTCAGTTTAGCTTAATTCCTGGACACTGCATGTGTTCATTATTTAAAATAAATGCTGCTTTATCTCAGCATCAACAGTTCCGGTCTTTGAATGTCTGATTATTTTAAATGTGAAGGATGTGAAGAGTCAGACCTTTGTTCACATATGTATTTATATTTATTATATTTTTATTTATATAAAGTCAGCCAACAGAAACAACATGATGTAACAACTGCATTACATCAGCATCACTATGATATGTTTTTAATTTTGAGAAAAAGAAGGTGATCCTACAGATTTCTTTTTAATCTGTAAAACTCTGGAAGAGTCGCCAAGTCTCAAGCTTCATTTTGGTTTGTATAGGTGTATGTAGTATTAGTATATATTTATGAATTTTCCACACAACTAGGTCTAACTTACCAGCGGACAGAAACGATTGCGAAAACAAATATTCGTTAAGTATATTTGGTTTTTTTTTAATTATCCGTGTGCAGATGTGCGGACCCAGTTGGTGGAGCAGCAGCGCTGTCTGGAGCAGCAGACAGAGATGCGGGTCCAGCTGCTTCAGGACCTCCAGGATTTCTTCAGGAAGAAGGCTGAAATCGAAACAGAGTATTCGAGAAACCTGGAGAAGCTAGCCGAGAGGTTCATGGCCAAAACACGCAGCACGAAAGATCATCAGCAATACAAGTAGGCCTGCTTACCTGAGTACGCATGCATGTTTGCATGTTTCGGGGGGCACATATTTGTGTATTAAATGAAACACACAAAAATGTATTTACTGAAAGGGGACATATCAGGGATTTACTTTACCATAAATATTCATTTTTTATAACTTTTGGAGCTTTAAAACTGAGTTGGTTATTGCTAGCTGTTAGCCTAAGCTTAAGCTAATTTACTTACTTACTTTCCCATGTTTTTTGAACCAAAGATATTAATCAAGTTTATTCATTTTAATTCATTTTAATAATCCCTTATATCAGCGGTCCCCAACCTTTTTTGCGCCACGGACCTGTTTATGCCCGACAATATTTTCACGGACCGGCCTTTAAGGTGTTGCGGATAAATACAACAAAATAAAACTAGTACCGGAAAATTTATTCATAACACACGTGAAAAGACCAAGGAAAACCGAGTAAACGATAAAAACGATAACAAAATAACGCTGAAAACCGATAAAAACCCTGAAAACTATACATTTCACACCTGAGCCTCAACTCTCGCGGCCCGGTACCAAACGACTCACGGACTGGTACCGGTCCAAGGCCCGGGGGTTGGGGACCGCTGCCTTATAGCACTTCACATCAATAAGAAACATTTAAAACTGTGGAGAAAAGTGTTTTAAGTAGGCTTTTTAAAAAGCTTGATAGCTTCTATTAGCATTGTAGCTAAAGCTCTTGCCCCTCCAGAATAAGATTAACCACATAGTAAGTTATTATTTTGCAGATAAATTACTTCAATATATATAAAACCTCCCAGTGATATATAAATAAGAAAAATAATTAATGGCTACAATGATAAAATAATTGAATATACATGATTCTGAAAAGTTCCACTCAGAATAAGTATGTTTGCGCGAGGTACTTTAAATGTATTTTAATACAACAAATTTAATAAAACTTTTCCAATATTAAGATATTTAATATTTGTTGGTTATAAGTTTATAATTTTTTCTTATCTTTGCCAATTTTCTTGATATTTGTTTATTTTTGGTCCTCATGTGCCCCCATTTAAAAAAGAAAAAGAAAAAGGCATTGGTGTTTTTTTTAGTTACTGCTCTCTGTTCTTTAAAAAATGTTATATATCCTATAACATACATCGGCCCCTGGGTATTTGGACGTTATACATTTAGGTCATGAATAAAGTCATGATGTAACGATATAAATAAAAATAAAATACGATTCAGAATTTTGCATTCAAATACAGGCTGTTGATAGAAAATTTCTTAAAATGAAGCACAAAATATCTTTAAATACTTTTATTTCACATAAATTTTAAAATAAATTTTTATTTCACATCAGAAACAGATTACTAAATGTTTGAGGTGTGAAATAAACCGCAATGGAGTTTGAAAACAAAATATGGATGTGTGTGGTTGGAGGATGTGTTTGTGCGGGTGGTGGGGGGGCGCAAACATTTTTAGATCAGTGGTTTGGGAACCACTGATCTAATATATGTGTTTACCGGGGAGTTTGTTCAAACCTTTACTATCTGTCAATGAAGCATAGGATAGCTACTTAACGGAAAAGAAAAGGCCAACAGTGGATATTAAGGGCTTGAACTCAAATGCATTTATCTGTTATCTAAATGATCCTCTCCACACAGTTTTAATAATCCACATATAAGTTGTATAAATGAGTGTTTTTGCTATGTTTAAGGCATCTCTCACTTTCCCTCTTCCAGAAAGGACCAGAATCTGCTCTCACCAGTCAACTGTTGGTATTTGCTGTTAAATCAGGTTAGTTTATGGTTTTGTGAATCTCCTCAAAGTCTTTTTGAAATCTCTGAGCTATGAATATACAATGAGGCATGTGCTGTTAAATGTAAGAAAAGCTGTTGCATTCGATCTTGTACTTAGCAAAGTGGCTGAAGCTTGTGCTCACCAACTATTAGAGGTTTTATTCAATCCTTTCAATCTTTCCTTGACACGTTCCCAATTCCTGTCCCAGAGAGACAAGCCATCAACAGTCTAAACGAGTACAGACCAATAGCACTTATATCAGTAGTCATGAAATGTCTGGAGAGACTTGTATCTCAATACATCAAAAACTGCCTCCCTCTTAACTTTGACCTGCACGAGTGAGCTCATGCACCAAACAGCCCTCCAGATTTCATTGAGCCATTTTGAATACCCAGGAAATTATCCTGGAATGCTCTTCCACCTTCACCACAATCGTCTCGTATATACTGGTTGGTAAAATATGTGACCTAGACCCCTCGCCCCCATCTGTACTGGGATTAAAGACTTCCTTACCAACCATCCACAAACGGTGAATGCTGGCCACCATCACACTTAGCACTGGCTCTCCTCAGAGCTGTGTGCTGAGTTCTCCTGTACGCCTTGTACACATATTTAATTTAGTTCAATTATATTTTTATAACACCAAATCACAACAACAGTTGCCTCAAGAGACTAGTGTAAAGAACTTAAATAATAGAGAGAAACCTCAACAATCAGGCAGTCCTGTTTGAGCAAGCACTTGGAAACAGTGGGGAGGAAAAACTCCTTTTTAACAGGATGAAACCTCCGACAAAGTTTGATTCATATGTGGAGGTGAGTCAGCATACAGAGAGCTATCTGGGTGTTGCTAGCCCTCTTCTACGTCAGGAGGGTTTCCTCAAATTCATGGGAACCAACATCGTGGAGAATCAGCAGTAACCCCATCAGAGACCAGGTTTACTGAGAATGCTCTGAAGGAACTACACAGAGGGAGAAACTGTTGGTGGCCTTCCAACGCTCCACTTTGAGAGTGTACTGCATCACAGTGTGGTAACAGCAGAGGTTTATCAGCACCACCCAGAGAAGCATCAGCTGCCCTTTCTAGAGGACATCTCCAGCTCTCTGTATCGCAGCAGGGCAAAGAAAATAATGCAAAACCTTTCCCGCCCTGGACTGCACTTGTCCAACCTGCTGCCTCCAGACAGACCAGACAGTACAGATACATAAAGAGCCGGAGCTAAAAACAGCTTCTTCCCCGTGGACCATCAGAACTCTGCTGTAAATAAAGGAGTGCAATAGCTGTTCTATAGGAAATGGCGTTCCGTTAAGTCCAGTCATGTCCTAAAGATGTGTGTCTGCCCTTAATGCTTCTATGCATTGTATAATTTTTAAAACCACATTTATTTATTTTTAAATACACTTATTCTTTTTCAGTCTTTTTACCTACAGTTTTGCACTGAATAGAATAGTTCTCAGAATCTTGTATAATTCCCCAAGGATTATTATTATTAGTAAATTATTATTGCTACTGTTGTTATTAATTATTATTATTATTATTACTAGTACATTCTTTCATACCAATCTCTGTTTTCCAGGTGAGGAGGGAGAGTAAGGACCATGCCACCCTCAGTGACCTCTACCTAAACAACGTCATATCCCGCCTCACACACATTAGCGAGGACTCGGCCCGCCTGCTGAAGAGGGTGAGCAAGATTATCATCACTATATACTTTGATATTTATGCAAACAAAATATCCTTCATGTGTTAGTCTGTTAGTAAAGGTTTCTCCACTTCTAAAAGAACAGAGGTCTTTATTTTTAATGCTTTGTATGTATTTGCTCGGGAGCATCTTTAGACTAATTTTGTTTACTTTGTCAAATAAATGAATGTAGCCTGGTCTCATAATTATATTTCTGTTGATATGTCGTAAAAACCTTATTTATCTAAGAATAATGAAAATCAGTGCAGGAATATTTTTTACATACGACAGAATGAGGTTTGTTGCTGCACCAGAAAAGTCGATTTCCTGTCTTTAGGACATTATTGTTACACAACTTTTAAGTTTTCACTTTTATTCAATATGTAACAATAGCACCACAGTGGATTCTTCTAAGCTGAAGTTAAAGAAGTACCATTAGATCAATAAGCAGTTGTTTTTTTTGAGTTAGTATCAAAAACAAAACAGAAAAGTCTAAAAAAGTTAGTGTTGTGCTGACTTGTGTCGTTACATTATTCCGATGAAACCAGTCAAATCTTCACATTTATTTTTGCATTCTCACTCCCATTGAAGATTTTAATGTCTTCATCATCTTCAGCCTCCTGTCTTTTTGTCAGTCCCATCGTCTTCAAACCCAACATCACAGCAGGTCTCACTACCATCTTGTAAACCTTTCCTTTCATTCTCGCTGCTTTCCCTCTGTCGCCTGTCACTTCTGACACTTGTCTCCACCCACTCCACCCTGCCTGCACTCTCTCCTTCAGCCGCCTTGTGCACTGTCAGTTACTTTGAACGTTTGACCACGGTACTTTCACTATCTCCTTGCCTATCTACCTGTCTCCATCTCACTCAAATGATTTCCAAAAAAAGGGTTTTTCCTTAGAATGTTTCTGTAATTGCTACATTTCCTTAATATCAAAGGACTTTTCGGTCAAAATTTTATGCAACTTACAAACTGATGCACTCTAGTTGCCTTTAAGAATGCTTTTGAGACACTATCAGAAGAAAAACAGCAAACTCAGAGTCTGAGAGCAAAAAAACAAGCTGAAACTCAGCTCAGCTGTTCATTCTCATTAAGTTCATCACGTCAGCTCATACTTTATTGCCATCAGAATATTGATTAGCAGCTGCTTTAAGCAAAGGATCTGAGCGCCTCTCCCTCAACTGTGTGTGTGCCCCTGCACAGAAACAGTGGTTATCCATCAGGCAGGCTGAACAGCAGCAGATATATAAATGAATCTGACCACACACAAACAAATGAATTCATAAATGAAACAAGCCGCGCTCCGCTGCCTGCTCTCAGACTGGATTTCTGTCTCATGCATTAAACAGCCGAGCAGTTTGGGAAAGAGCTATGTGGCAGCATTAATATTACATTATGCTAAATGACTGAGGAATCCCAGGATGGATGAATCCCGTTCCCATAGCGCCCGCTGAGAAAAGATCAGTTGAGCTTGTCGCCATGGCCACAGGGCTGTCGGTGTTGTCATGGCCACTCAGCTGTCTGTCTCTTCCTCTTCAGAGGAGAGTTTCTGAGAGGACGCGGCGATGTGATGGAGGTCTTGCTGTTTATAGCTGCTGGCAGTAGCTGCACTTTAGTTAGCATGAATAAAAGACGAGCCGGAAGCCAGATTAATAATGAACACGGCGAGCTAAAGTTGGAGGCGGGTAAAAGTACACCAGTGTGTGTGTGTTTAATTTGCCAAACTCCAGCAGAGCTCAGGGGAATACTGACTTTACTTTTTATTAAAATCAACTCTGCGACTTAAAGAAGCCGTATGAAAAAATAACAACCCCAGAGGTCTGCGCACACGGATGGTTTCCAGCACTGTAAAAATACATTAATGGTACTTTAGTGCTGTACTCGAGCACAGTACTGAGGTACTTGTGCTTAGAGCCACTTCTGTAATCCGTAGTTTATATTAACAATTTATAAAGTGACAATGTGATTGGGCAGCTGTTCTCTGAAAAACTATAAAAAGCAGCTGTATCACGGGAAAAGTGAATTTTTAAATGTTTTACCTTAAAAATTAAGTGATTTAAGCATTAATAATTACAGTAGTCAAAACTAGGCTATTTATAAAATACAATAATAAATTTATACAGTACTTTCTTTAGCAAACTTATAAAGGAGTTCAGAGAAACTACTTATAAAATAAAACATACCTCTCAGTTGTGACCTCCGCTTGTATTTGAGTATGAAGTGGATGAAAGGAGAATTATCACCTCAAAGTCCGGAGGATTTGTTTTTTTCTGGGTGTAGGAGTTAAAATGAATTAAGTTTGTTTACTCTGGTCCAAATCGGTTGATGAGCTTTCTCCTTGTGGTTTGGTTTCTTTTCACACAGAGAAAAATTCAAACGACCTTTAATGCGTCTGGCTTGGCACTTAGTACAGCAAAAGGGTCCCGGGTTCAAACGTAGGCGGGGCCCTTCTTATGCTTGTTAATGTTGTGATCATTCAGGTCAAAAAGATGTGAGTTGTTAGAGGATTGTTTCCTGTAAGTGTCATTGTATAAAGAGACAATGCTAAAATGGTGCATAAATCTGTGAATGCCTTTATTTGAGAATATGCTGGTAACAGGTTTCTCTTCTCATTTGTGTGCTTTAGAGTAAGGAGATCCTCTTCCAGCTTCAGGAAGACCTCATGAAGCTTCTGAATGAGCTTTACACCGTAAGTGGAACAAAAGTTATTCTTCCAAGGCTTTAAGACACAAGTTTTTTAATGTGTTAGTGTTAAACACATTTTTATGTGGTCTACAAATGCAACAAGAAAAGAATGCACTTCTAAACATTTCATTCATTTACGGTTAATCAGGTAATAAAGCAGTAAAAAACCAGACCAAGGAAGGATTCTTGTAAAATTTCAATCAGGTTTTTAAAGCTGTTATAGCTGGTGTTGGGGTCATTCCTCAATAATGGGTTGCACAATAATCATGCACAAAAATGGCACATTAAATACACTAACAGCAAGTGTCTGACAGTCTTTTGTTGGCTCACTAACTGCCCCTCCCACCTCTGCATCTTCAGCACTGTGAAAAAGTATTTACCCCCTTCCTGATTTCCTAGTCACTCCAAATCATTTGCCATCACCTCCAACCAGTCACAGCAGATGGCTGCCCCTCTTTGAGCCTGGTTGCACTGAAGGCAACTGTTGTTGTGATTTTGCGCTATACAAATATAATTGAATTGAATTGGTTTTTGTTTTTTTTCCACATTTGCCACACATACATTTTCAGATGACATAAAATTAACACAGCAAAAGAACATCATACCAACAGTCAAACGTGGCGATGGTGGTAGTATGATGGTCTGGGGTTGCTTTGCTGCTTCAGGACGACTGATAGAACCATTAATTATGTTTGCGGCCTCAAAATCCTGAAGCTATAATTTTGTGCACTGAAGCTCAAGGGCACTTGGGTCCTGCAGCAGGACGATTCGAAAGACAGCAGCAAGTTCACCTCTGGCTGCAAAAAAAAAGCTGTTTTGGAGTGGCCTAGACATAGTCTGGAATCAGACTGAGATACTTCGGCATGACCTTAAACACGTATTTTATGCTGGAGAACCCTCCCATGTGGCTGAATTAAAACAATTCTTTAAAGAGGAGTGGGCCACTTCAAAAGCCTCATTTCCAGTTATCAAAAATGATTCATTGCAGTTTTTCACACATTAGTAGACGCTACCTTTCAAACATTAGTCGGCATTACAGTTTTTCTGTCTAAAGCTTTTTGTTTTCAATGCTTTAAACAGGTAAACAGGACCTGTTATGCTTTTGCTTTCCTATCTTTTGAATGTTCATTTAAATCATGGCCAGAGTTACAAATAATGAAGTCAGTGCATGTGCAATTAATCACAGTGAGCAAAAAAATAGGTTTCAGCCAGGTTTTTTCTACTCTTGGATTTGTGTGGTGTCATAGAGAGCAGATATTCCTAATGTGGTTGTCTCAGAAAGCCCCACCCACCTGCTGTTCCAACTGTTTTTTTTAACAATGAGGAGCCAATCATGAGAAAGCTGGCTGAAGGAGGAAAGAAGCCTATACGGCAGTACCAGAGGATGAGGGGCTGCAGAGCAGTGATTCAGAGTTGATTCACCGCCCTGCAGAGCTATTCGAGTCCAAGAATGAAAATATGGTTCTGGAAATGAGCAGAATAGGTTCCTTTAATGGTAGTAACAGGGAACTGTCAAAGCAAAGTCAGTGGCTTCTTTTCACAGCTCTGAGAGCTTCCTTTATAAATGCAAAAATTGTCCTTTCTGCCTCACATTTCTCATCCATTCATTTTTTCTTCTGCTTTTTGTCTGACGTTATCCTTCCAGCCTGCTTTAAAGTAAAAAGTCTGCCTCCTGTTGGCTGCCAATTATCAGGTTTTTCTTCAGGTCAGAGCGCTGGCCTTAAAAGCTCCTTGTCCAAACACTAGAAATCAGATTAGAGCAGCACTGATAACCTTGGGGGGATAAAAAAAAAGACAGTCGACCCCGGCTGCAGCGCACTGCTGTTTTCCTATTTGATTGGGCTATTATGGGCTGCTGTTGCCTAGGTGATGAAGACATATCATATGTACCACGCGGAGACGATCAGCGCAGAAACCAAGCTGCGGGAGGCGGAGCGGCAGGAGGGGCGCGTGAAGGGCGTGTCAGGGACTGGTGGAGGGGTGGAGCCTGTGTTTGGCCTGCGGATAGAAGAGCGCCACCAGAGACGCAACGCCGCCCGCAAGATGGAGAAAATGAGAGAGAAGGTAACAGTTTTATAGAGAAAGGAGACTGTGTTTCCTCTCAGGTGTCATCCAAAGCAACCAGATGGGTAACCTGTTCCTGCATGAGATATTTTAGAATGAGATACTTTCTTTATGTAATCCAATACTTTCCACTTCTTGATTTCAACATGACTTGAAAGCAGAAAGGACTAATTATGAAAGCTATTTTTTGCTTCTTGTTGATCGCATTTGCAGAACAAACGAGGGGAATCGGTACACAAGAACCAGAAACCAACCATTTAATCTTCTTTATGTCTGTTTCTTTACTAGAGGAAGGCAAAGTACTCAGAGAACAAACTGAAGACTGTGAAAGCCAGAAATGAGTATCTGCTGACTCTGGAGGCCACCAACGCCTCGGTGTTCAAATACTATATCCACGACCTGCCCGATATCATAGATGTGAGTAAATTACAGAGTGTATTTGTAGCTCAAACCTTATATTCATCACTTAAAAAGGTTGTTAGGTTTATAAGCCTAAATAGGAATTTGTTTAAAGGCAGTTTTAAAATGTATGGAGAGAGCTTTTATGAGATTATTTTTAGGGCCTCTGTTAATAGGAATAAAATTCCTTTAGATTTTTCCCATAGCGAATGTTACATCTATTACACTTGAAACTATGGTAGTACTTGAATTGCCTTGCAACTCTTAATTCTCTTAATAAACGTCACCAATTTCTACAAAATACATGCGGTCTTTTCCCTCTCGTGAATAAATCCCCATCTTTGTTTCAGTGCTGTGACCTTGGGTACCACTCCACTTTGAGCCGGGCACTGAGGACCTACCTGTCAGCTGAACTGAGCCTTGAAGCCTCCAGGAGGGCGGGTCTGGAGGTCCTGGAGGGGGCTGTGGAGGGCCTGGACCCTGCCCGTGACAGGCAGCGTCTGCTTGATCTCTACCCCACTGCTTTCTGCCCCCCACAGAACTTCAGCTTCCAGGCCCACATGGGCGACACAGTCAGTTTGCCCCTCTTTATGTCCTTTGAAAATAAGAGTCTGACACATATTATTAAATTTAAATGTTCACCACAGAGAATTTAGACCTCTGAACAGCCATTTTCCAATTGTCTTCTTTTTTGTTTCATACCAGGTGGCCCAGATCACCTCCCAGCCGCAGGTCCAGTCTGAGCTCAGCCTCCGCCTCACACAGCTTCAAACCCGCCTGGCGTCTCTGAAGATAGAAAATGAGGAGGTCAGACACACAAGTACACCTCATAAAACTCAGGAAAACCATTTTGACATTAACTCTATTTTGAGTTACTAACTAGGACTACACTAAGATGGTTTATAAGCCATGTTTTCTAAGCAACTTCAGTAGGCCCACACAGAAGCTGATCTAACGTTTAATCCCAGATGGAAGAATTTAATCTGGAATATTTTTGACCGTTATGGTGCAGTTAGAGCTGTAATGTGGCTCAAAAGTCATCCGTGCCTGATATGTGTTACTGCAAGTGTTAATGTTGGCTAAGATGACATAACTCACCTGAAATCTGGCCCATATAAGGTGGACCTGAGACTGAGTCAACACCATCATTCGTTGCTAAAAGAAAACTGCAGATTTGCCCAATAATACCTGGGGCACTTATTGGTATTTGGACTAAGACTTCACATTTTTGTGTTTATTTTTATGGTCTCATCTCATGTACAGGAAGTTACCTCTTTTTCTTATTTTTTTCCCCTAATCCTTCTTAAAGCGCTGATCAAGAAAGTGCCTACCAGTAAGTTCAACAACAGATTTCTTTGAGCTGCTAAAAAAATATCATCACTGTGGACACAAATTTACTTGATGTTTGCACTAATCTGTCCTGTTGTCCATCTGAGATATTTAGCTCCAGCTTTAGGAATTAAAACAACATAGAGACTCTGGTAAAAGTGGCCAAAACCCCTCATTGATTATTAATAACTTTCTAACAGTTATAAACTTTGCACAAAGTTATGGTAATTTATACAGATTTAATGGGGTGATAATGTGGCATATGTAGCCTCTAAAAATAAAGTTGAACCATCTGATAGCTGTGTGGTGCTGCAGACTGCCGGTGTCCTCGCTGTTGTTGTGCACAGAGGGCAGCTGTTAACTCACCCCGAAGGGCATAAAAATGCTGAAGGAGTCTGGATTAATGAGCTGCATCTGCACATCTCAGCGGCTTACAACCCACACAAACACAAATTAAAAACACTCATAGACTCATTACTCTTGCTGTAAATATAAACACTCTTTGCATATGTAGCATATGTAAACACTGCACCTCCTTAGGCATTTTTGAAAACAAAGCCACGCCCATAAAAAAATGACAGTAATTCAGATGCATTGATCCATGGAGCTGTGCTGAGACTGAGTAATGTGTTCAGATCTTACAAAGTTGCTCTTCCATTTAATATCGGTAGAAAAACTCGAGTCCAGTAGACCAGCAGACATCACCAAATGCTGTGTTTGCTCCCTTGAGATGCTCTGCATGACCTTTACTGCAGAATATCGCATTTCTTTATCTTTGGTTCATTATCCATTTGCACTGAGAAGCTCTGTCTGATCAGTTTTGCAGCATTCAGCCAAATCTGAGGAGAGAGTACAGCTCTGTACACTTCACATTTCATCCTGCTGCTTCTATCACTAGTGGTCTGGTCCCACTGGTAGCCATACAGGCTCATGCCATAACGATGCCGCCACCATGTCGGACAGATAATGTGGTATGCTTTGGATCACGAGCTGTTTCTCCCCTTTTCCATACTTTTCTGATACAAATTCACCTTGATTCAGTTTCTCCTTTTATTCCAGAATTGAGCAGGCTCTTTCAGATGTTTCCTTGAGTGTAACCAGTGTAACCATAAATCCTCTGTATTTATATTCATGAAGGTGTCTTTTGATTGTAGACTTTGACAGTGATCTGCCTTCCACTTCAAAAGTGTTTTTTGACTTTGTTAAATGTTGTGAAGTTGTTTTGATTAACAATGAAAATCATTCTGTCATGATGCACTATAGTTGTCGTCTGTGGTCTTTCAGGAATTTTTTGTGATGCTGAGCTGACCAGTACATTAATTTGGTGGCTTCTAAAGTTTCACTGATAGGTTTATTCTGGGTTTTCAGCCAAATGATGGCCTCCCTTATCTTCACTGACATCTCTTTGGACCTCATATTGAGAGTAACATGTAACGTGGATACTTACTATGCTGTTCCACTTTTCTGCCACCTTTCAGGTGAAGAAGACCTGGGGTGCAACTCTGACCACCTTGCAGGACATGACGGTGCTGGACGACTTTGACGTCTCCCAGAGCTTCACCCACAGCCCGTCTTCCGAGTCGGTGAAGTCCAGCGTGTCGGACGGCTACTTGAACAAACCCAGTCTGGCCAAGAGACGGGCGAACCAGCAGGAGACCGAGCTCTTCTACTTCTCTGTAAGCCCAGCAGAGCAGAGTTGTTGTTTTTTTTTATTTGACACTGTTTTTCACCCCAAGTTACTCATATTAGATGAAGGTCGGTTTTGAAAGTAGCAAATATTAAATAAGTATAGAGTAAACGGTGGCATGACATCCAAAACAGACTACAGTTAGTCAGATAAATCAGATTTCAAATAAGTTGTTACAGCTGCAGAATACAGTTATACTTTAGATTTCTATATTAGTGTTTTGTTAACGTAGTTTCCTTTATAACACCACAAAATGCTGTCCTGCTTTTTTTTATTAATTTATGACATTTTTTAAATTTCAGATTCGTCTATCTTCTGGTGGTGTCTCTACATTCGCTTACTAGATGATTCAATGTGAAGTTCATTCTGCTTTTAGCTGCTTTACTTGCACTAATGTACAGTGTGTATTGTAATCACTGCATTCTGCATACTCATACTTTATTTTAGTTTGTATAATTTAGCCTTTGTGTTTGTCATTTATGTGATTTCCTATATTCAGAAATTCCGCGAGTACCTGGAGGGAAGTAATCTTATTTCCAAACTTCAGGCTAAACACGATATATTAAAGAAAGCGTTGGCAGAAGGTAAGAGTCTCTCTCAGTCTTCTTTAGTCTTGTACTTTGTCAGACAGACTCTGATCAGCATTTCTTCACTTTTAAATCTTCTCCTTTTTTTCTTGCAGGATACAAAGCTGAACTGCTGACTACAAGGTAAGGTGCTTTCCTGTCGCATCGATAATAAGTGTTGTATCTCTTTGCTGTGCTTTGGCTCTCTAAAACTCTCATCTTTTGCTTTCTTTCTCCTTTTTGTACGTGTTTCAGCCGTGGGCGGAAGAACTCCCACAGCAAGCACCAGGTAAAGTTTGACCTCATCCAGGTTTTGAGGATTTGGGGAGGTGGGGGGTTCATGTTCTCCTCAACAGTAGTCAGTGCAAGATATCAGCAGCGCAATCTGCTAATTTGTCAAAGGCTACAATTTGGATTTGAAAGCCCAGAGGAGTGTAACCAATAAGCAGAAATATTAGCAATATAAATAAGGTTGTCATCTACAATGCAATGAAAGTGTATTAATGTTGCCCTCAGAACAGCAAGCTTAAGAAGCAATAATGACTCATTTTTAGGATTCATTTACCCATAGTATTACCCGTCCCTGCACCTGCACCATGTCAGACATTACTCGGGGCAGGAAAGATTACTCCTTGAACTTTTTATGCATACTTTTTGATCAATTGTTGGCTTAAAAGATAGCAGGACAGTGAAGCTGCACACACAATATCGATCATAAAACATTAGTAGTAATATCAGTGTATTAATGTAACACAGCAAAAACTACATTTCAAACATAAACATGTTAGTAAATGGCCTGCATTTGTATAGCGCTTTACTCAATCCCTAAGGACCCCAAAGCGCTTTACACGTTCAGTCATCCACCCATTCACACACTGGTGATGGCAAGCTACCCAGTAGGAAAACATGGGGTTAGTATCTTGCCCAAGGATATTCGGCATGCAGCCAGCAGGCAGCCTGGGATCGAACCACCAACTTTCTGATTAGTGGCTGACCTGCTCTGCCACCTGAGCTACAACCACCCCGCGAGTTTTACAATAATAAAGCAATTTACACCACAATTCTCTTTTCTGCTATGGTGAGCCATTAATCTCATAATCAAGGGATATACCAAATAAATGTAATGTTTTTGCATGTCTGTTGATTGGTGCATGTCCACAACCTGTCTACACATAATACATTAATGTACATGAAAAAGATCTTCAAGAATCTTATAAATATAACAAAATTAAAAATACTCTGCACTCTAATTGCGTTTTTGTAGGATTCAACCAAAGCCATACCCTTGCTTGTGGAGAGCTGCATCCGCTACATCAACCTACATGGTGAGTGTCACTTTTCAGCTTTAAACAATGTGAAATAAATGCTGTAGTGGCTGATGCTGACAGATGAAGGGCTAAATTAGAGAAAGGGATGAAGCGTTTGTTAGTTACAGCAAAGAAAACGACTGGAAGGTATGAATTTAATGTACTGCAGTCCTTCTTCCTGCTTTCCATCAGCTATAATTTTGGTTCAGAAATGTTGTTGCGTGTATTTGTGGGCTGTCCAGAGGTGTTTTACACTTATAAACTAAAAGAGGGACATTGTGAACGGTGCTGCAGGAGGCAGTTAAATCCTTTTTTGTTGATCACATAAAGCCGCCTAAATCTTAACTGTCAAACTCTCGTGTTGGCATCCTTTCACTCTCTTCATTCTGCAAACAACAAAACTGCATCACAGCCAGCCCCTGACAGCTGAACAAGTACAAAACAGTGATTTCATTTTAATTCAGTCATTCCCAAGCTGCAGCTGATAATCATTTTTTTGTAATTATGCTATAAAACTGAATTTAGCCTCATACTCAACATGGTGTGTTCTACAATGTACTTTTGGTGGCATGTAAAATAAAATGTACTCAAATATTCATATCGTGATATATTTTACATTTTAAGTAATCAATAGCAAAATAACAGATAGAGACCATGAATAAAAGCTCTTTTTGTCTGCCTATGAAATGCACGAAACAGTCCAACCCAAGAGTTCATACACATTGTGATTGTGTTGTTTATTCGGCAGTGACTTCTTGGCCGCCTACTGAATATGCAACTGATGTAACTCATCATTAGATCCTTAGGATAGCACCTAGTAGCCCAAGTTGGCAGCTACCAATTCTAGATTAAGAACTACAATCCTAACTAACACCAGTTTTTGGCAGAATGTTACTCTAGTCCCTAGCAATCCAATACTATCAACTAGGCATTGCTTCCAAGGCATTGGTGTCACATGGCTAATAAATAGCTTTTGAAGCTAGCTACTAGCATCCCTCTGTTATCAACTACAATTTCTATGTGGTCAGTGGTCAGTAGGCATATGAACTACAAGATTCATGCATTGATTAGTACTTTATCTTGTTAAATCAATATATAAATCAGTCTTTGGCACTTCGCCATAAAAAACTAGCAAGTGTTCATACTACAACTTATGTCAACGTTTGTTTCTCAGCATTTGGGACAGATCTGCTAGGCTTAGACTGTGACTATGTGCAACCTCCATCCCTCTGCTGTTCCCAACAGGTCTTCAGCATCAAGGCATATTCCGGGTATCAGGATCACAAGTGGAGGTCAATGACATCAAGAACTCGTTTGAAAGAGGTGAGAGGTCAACGGGAAGGTAACTCGACTGTCATGTGATAAGTACGCCGGCAAACTTGTATTTGAGGATTTCTCTCTTCTGCCTCTCATGCAGGTAACGATCCGCTGATTGACGAGGAAAGCAACCATGACATTAATTCTGTGGCTGGAGTGTTGAAGCTCTACTTCAGGGGTTTGGAGAACCCTTTGTTTCCCAAGGACAGGTTCAATGACCTCATCTCCTGCGTCAGTAAGTACTGCATAGACAGACTGAATCATTCATGATAAAAACAGAAAAATAATGTACCGTAAAATAAATGGTTTAATCACAGAGCAACCAAAAATCCACCGAATATGTTAACGATTCAGAAAAGAATCACAAAGATTTGATATTGATATTAGGATGTTTATATTAAGTTAAGGATCAGGACTTTTTCATAGCAAATAATCCAAACCACTGACCTTGTCCTGTGGATGGGCTCATTTTGGATGTTCTCTTGACTGAACTTTGGTCAAATTTCAGTGTGTTTTGCCACTTAATGGCGTTCAACTCTTGTCAAATATAGCTTAACCACATTATCATTCTCACTGATGAAGCAGGCAGTGTTTTTAGGAGAAAGCATGGGAAAATATGACCAACTATCACTCCTAACAGGAGGTTAATTAAAAAATTTTAATTAAGCACTTTTTACCTATAAAAAGTGCTTAATTAAAGCACTTTCATTAAGCACTATTAAAGTGCTATTGACAATGTCCCTCTTTTAGTTAAAAAAATCCTGAAAGACCTTGGGATGGACCTTCATAACACTCAATGACATGCACTAGTTGCTAGATGCTAGCATATACTTGTTGCACATGGCGAACAAGTATAACCTATACAAGCTACATAGTGGATGAAGTTATGCAGAGCTCCAACTAACTTGGGTGGTGTAGATGCAGTGAAATGTGAAAAGATCCAACAGTTGGTTATTTGTGTCCCAGTGAAATGTTCAAATCAAGTGATTGTCTGTGAAGCTCGACTTTCATTTGCTTTAACACTTGAGTCTGAACCGTTTGTGCAGCTTCCATCTGCTGCGGTGAAGCTCAGCATGAATCTCTGTCTATCTATTCAGCCCACACGCAGTCACTTTCCCTCTCGGTTTCCTCGTCTTTGTTTCTCGTTAGTGTCTCTTTGTCTCTTTGAAACCCATCCCCTCCACAGCAGAGACATGGAGCTGCCTGCTTCCCTTTCTGCGGCACCGACTGGCGTGTTTCAGGATGTGTCATCGTGTTACAGACACCTCGTGATGTCTCAGGGACTCATAATGACTTTAGATTATGTGCATTTTCCTGCTGCAGGGATAGAAAACCTGTACGAGCGAGCGCAGTGTATCCGTAAGATCCTGCTGGGTGTCCCAAGGGCGACGCTGGTGGTGATGCGCTACCTGTTCGCCTTCCTCAACCAGTGAGTATCCACTTATACAAAACCGGGCCCTCACATTTATGATAATTGCCCATTTTTGTGTTTTCCCAGCTGGGTGGGGAGATGCCTCTCCTGTAGTGAAAAGGGTTCGAAGTGCACACTTGTATAGATGATAAAACACAGCTCATTTTGTTTCTGCAGCCTCTCAAATAAATATAGAATGAGAGAGCAGCATGGAGAGGCAGGAGGTGTGAACAGGAAGTGTGATGAGCTGGTGCGATGTACCAGGCGAGTGATGTACTGGTGTGTTTATTAGCAGGGCTCTGAAATGCATTCAGCTTCAGTGTTATTAAACCAGGAGCTTCACGGTCGAGCGCAGAGAAGATATTTCAATCACTATTTGAAATGAAAGCTGCAATAATGGAAAAATGCCAGAGTTTATTGAATACAGCCTTTTAGCTTTAGAAGTGTATTTATATTGTATTGAGGCAAGCTTTTTTAAAATAATAAGGCAAAGCAGAGCATCACATAAAGAGCTGTGGAGTCGTCGTTTGCAGGAAATTTGCTGCATGGTTTCATAGTAGAAGAGAGAACGTTAAAAAACATGCAGAGAGTAACAATATTAGGACCTTTTTGGTGATATTAGAATATTCTTTAATAAAATAATTCAGAAAATACAGGATTTCTTTCCTTTTTAAATTAAAAATAATTATAAAAATTCATTGGATGCATTTATTTTATAGGTTTTCAAAGCCTAAAAAATCACAAAACTTTATAAATTAATGCAAAGAACATAGCAAGTAATAATAATAAAAATAAAGCAGTAACCTAATAAATCTCATGTGATCATAAATTACATATTTCTGAGGTTTCGGGGCTGCTGCTTCGAAGTTCAGAAACATTTATGTTTCATTTTAATTTATCATTTTATTAATTTTCATAAAACTTCATAGAACTGTGGTTACATCAATAACTAATCTTTAATTATTTAATTATTATTTAATCTTTTATGTAAGTAATCTACTAACTTCTGAACTCTTACGCTGTCTTCTCAAACCAGACTCCATTTAAAAAATAAATAAAAAGCATAGAGATTGTATTCTCCATTACAGTCTTGTGTATGAATCAAAACCTACAAATTGCTTTGTCACCTTTTGAAACCAGCAAACAACACAGAAGTGTAAAACTGACTTTTGCATAATTAATCTGGTGAGTCATAGTTAAGCATCAAAAATGCTTAAAATGCAATACCAAACCAAAACACTCGTGGTTTTTCTTTGTCTTATCTGAAGGTATATTCGGTATTTTAAGGTGTGAACTGTTATTCAGACAAAAAGAAGAAAACTTTTATTGATTAAAAAGTCAGAAAAAAAATCACGATTTTATGTTGCTATTAAGTATCAGAGAACCATGGTTACGTGAGAAACCTACTGTTGTGCCACTGTAGGTCTCAATTAGAGCGAAATGGTGATCAATCACTTAATCGACAGAAGTTTAATTGGCAATTATTTTAGTAAAGTCTCATTTTAAACAGTTATTATTTAAGCAAGATTTGATATTTTATTTCAGGGAAAATTATAGTTCCCTTTACTTCTCAAACTAGACTCCATAAAAATAATGTCAGTTTAAGACAGATGAGGAAAATTGTTTACAGTCTTTTTAGTGCTCACTTTTCTTTTTCCTCACTGCTCCTCAGAGCCATATTTCTAATATTTAGACACATGTGTACAGTGAAACATTAATAAAGGAGTCATACTTTTTAAATTTCTAAATTCAGTGTTTCTCTCAGTTTTGATAATTAACAGTTTAATTGTAAACAAGTAAAGTTTGGCCACATTGCCCACGTTTCTGCAGCCTTTCCCAGTACAACGATGAGAACATGATGGATGCTGGAAACCTGGCCATTGTGTTCGGCCCCACCCTACTGCCGACACCGGAGACCCTGGACCAGGTGGCCTGCCAGGCACACGTAAATGAGGTCATCAAAACGGTCATCCTGCACCATGACAACATCTTCCCCGACACCAAGGAGATGCCCGGCCCAGTGTATGAGAAATGTATGACTGGAGACCAGTACTGGTGAGCATCAGGATGTTATCCTTTATTACGCTCTGTTGGAAATTAAATTCATTTATGTTATTAATAACAAAACAAAACAGGATTTAAGACCTCTATATGCCCATTTCTTCGCCAGCCTTGAATTTTGTTTTTATATTTTAATGTTTTCAGATTAACTGTTTCATTTCTGATATTTTGGTAAATTCTTACTTTGACAGTTTCAAGCACGTGTTCCCTGGTATTTCACCTTTAATTCAAAATGCAGAAATAAATCACACATTGATATCATGCAGTATGACCTGCACTTCACGGCGACATCAATAATTCTGATGTTTATCAAGAATAAACACAACAAATCTTCTTAAAGGTACCTTCTGTAATGAACCTCTGCAGGATTTAACTAAAGCTTTCACCACAAGGGGGCAGATGTTTTTTTTCCCACTGGGTGTGTAGAGATGTCTCCAGATGTGTGCAGTTGTTTAATGTCTAATATTTCTTTTTAGCTTTCCTTCATTTCCACAGGCTTTACCTTATGTCCCACTGCTGCTGGAAGTAAAAATGACACCAAAGTACAGTCTGGCTGTGGTTCAGCTTGCGTTGATAACTCTTTAAGCTATTTTAAACAGAGGAAAATACCTCAGAGCTCCTTAAAAGGGCAAAGAAAGAAACCCCCTGCAGAACCTGAACCAGAACATTTTAGGTTTCCTTTACTCTCACAGTAACTCAGCAGTAGATCTATGTATATCACTACATGTACTGCAAAGAGGAACTTCTTATAGGAAATTCTGCATTCTTTTAATTGTGTTTAATGTATATAAATAAAGGTTAACTGCAGGGTGGGGCCTTTGAATAAATTGAGCTGTTAGTTTGAGCAGACACCTGGCAGCCTGTCAGGAACACGAGGTGTTGGAGCAGACAGTAATCCTTCTGCTGTGGAAAACCTCCTACAGCTTCTCTTTTCCCACCATCTTCTGAATCTTGACATTCTACTGTAGCCGTAAACGTCCTCAGACTCCAATGAGCGGGCTCGCCTCCTGCTGTGCGTGTTTCTCCCTTTGTTCCCACACTGAATGGACGGGTGTGTGTCAATCTGCTGCTTCTTCTTCCCACAGCGAGAGTCCGTTCAGCGAGCCGGGAGCGTTGGAGGAGGCCGAGCCCGACGCCGGCACCGAGACCCAGACCAGCGACGAGGGTACGCATGACCCCTGACCTTCACACAATCGCCCACACTCCCATACTCGTACTCCCTCGTGGTGGTGGTGGTGGTGCTGGAGAGTGGTTGCTACGGCAACAGCAGCCATGGAGACACTACCACCACTCTCCTTCCCTCCTTTCATCCACACCCCACCCAGCCTCCCCTCCCTCCTCCCCATCTCTCCATCTGAATTAATAGAAAAGACTCTTTTTAAAGCTCTTTTCTGATTGGTGGAGCGGTGGGCGGAACAAAGCCTAAGGGACTGTTGATTGACAAGTTCAGGTTCACCTGCAGTTCGATGTCTGGCTCTTATCTTCACCTCCTCCTCTTTTCTCTCTCTGTCTCTTTGGCAGAGGGTGAAGCTGTGGAGGCGGTGGCGAGGTTCGACTACGTGGGCCGGTCGGGCCGCGAGCTCTCCTTCAAGAAGGGAGCCTCCCTACAGCTCTTCCAGCGCGCGTCACATGACTGGTGGGAGGGCCGGCACAACGGCAACCACGGCCTGGTGCCTCATCAGTACATCGTGGTGAAGGACAGGCGAGTGCACAGCCCGAGATGGTTTGTACACATCAAAAACACAAAGTTAAAAAAGCTGCAGCACAGTCTGAAAATACTCGAATCCATAAAATAATCAAAGTTCATCATTAAATGTGCTAAAATGTTTAGAAAACAATGATTTTCAGTTTGTGTTTTTTCACTTAAACAAATGTATTTGATTTTTTTCCTGATTGCAGGCTTCTGAAATGATGCTTCTTTTTGGTTTGCGTCCTCATAAAACTGCAAAATATCGTTTATAAATTACAAAAACTGTTATCGTTTATTGAGTTCATGCCAGTATTCAGAATTGCATATGTTGTACTGTTTATCTACTTTTTAATGATTTTGCTAAATTACAGGATAATAATGCCAATGCATTCAGGGGTTTTTTTTGTGTGGCTACATCTTAAATGTGACCAGAATTGTTTTTATAAATACACACGCAACTGTTCCACAGTTTGTTAATGCAGATGTCTAATCAGCCAATCACACAACAGCAGCTCAGTGCATTTAGCATGTAGAGATTAGGCATGTAGACGGGATCAGAATGAGGAAGAAAGGAAAGGGCATTAAATTTTTTAACACTTGATTCATTTTTGTTTCATTTTTTTATTCGCGTAATAATTTATAATATTCTGATATAAAAACATTACATTGAGAATTTGGGGGTTTAAATACAGCGTGTACGTGAACAAGAGCATTTTAAATTCATTTGCATTTCTTTGTGCCGCATCGTCACGATGTAACATGTATATTATACCACATGAGATGATTGGAAAAAATTACAAAAAATAGTATAATTATTTTTATTTCCTACATATTTCCTAGACATAATTTAGCCTTCACTTCCGTTTCACATTTTATAAAATTACAGTGTAATGTTATCACAGCATAAACTATTTGCAAAGTTTAATTTTACTCAAGCATTTTTCAAAATATTTTTCAAAATATTTCAATTTGGTTCAAGCTTTATTTTAGTATAAGTATTTCTGTTTTCCATAGATATCAATTTATATGGACATATGTGTATAGATATACATAGACAGATGTTTAGTGTCTTATTTGCATTTTTAATATTCGTATTTACCTAGTTTATATCTTCAGTTTTCCAATACAAGAGCAAGAACAAAGGGGATGCATTGTGTGTGTAAACGGTTTAGTTTAGTCGTAGTTTTGAGTTGAAATCTTTCTTTGTAGAAGTTCTTGTTAGCATAAGTGGCTCGATGGCCTCATTGAAGAGCTGCAGTGATGGATTTGTCTGGATTGCCGCTCACTGGATTGTACACCTTGTTGATTAACAGACTGATTGGGCCGAGGCAGTCACTAACCACAAACTATTGATCAGTTAATTGATGATTGGTGCGCTGTGCTAGTTCAGCTCTCCAGTTTCCAGAGTGATTTTTCCTGATTGAGAGCCTGTGTCTTCAGGGCCGACGCCATGTCAGACACACTCAGTCAGAAAGCCGACAGCGACGGAGGAAGCAGCAGCACCGACGATAAGCGGTCTAGGAGCGAGCTGAGCTCCCCGACCGACATGAGACCTCCAGAGACCTACAACAGGTCTGTCATGTAAGACACCTTTCATTATCATGACACCTGGGAGGATTTTCTGCGGCGTGTTTTAAGCCCATCCTGTTCTCTCACCTCTAAAAATACCTGCGGATCTCATCACGCTGGTGTCACAGCTGTTCTCATGTGACCAGTTTCCCCATCTGCAGACTCCAGACACCTTTTATTTTATTCGTAGTCATTCCTCACAACACGTCAAGGAAGGCAGCCCAAGTGTGGCTAAGTTAATCTGTGCAAGAGGCTTAAAAAGCCTTCAGTACCAGTGTGATTATGTGGACATGCTTCTTAGACCTAAAGCTTTCTAACACTTTGCATAAAAGTTTGTGTTTTTTATGTTGGACTCTTTTAAAAACAAACAAACACAAAACCCCCACACCTAACACCATCACCTATCGGCTGCCAATGTGTATAATAAAAATGGGAGCATTTCCATGATTTCCTGGTTCATCTGCAGTTACGTAAAGATTTATACAAACTGGACTTTTGTAAAACTCGAAAACTTGAAGCGTCACTTAAGTATTACATATAAGGAGCTGAATTTATAAAATCCACAAAGCTGTTTAATTATTTGAGTTTAAAAATAACATGAGAGAAGCTTTGGTACAAGCAGAGACGAGCTTGCGGGTTCTCCAAAGGGAAGATAGCATGTAGTTCAGTAGTTGCTGAATATGATTTGTTTCATTCTACCTGAGTTAATGCTGTTTACACTTCCTGTTGACAGCCACAGGAGGAAGCGAACTGATGGTTTATTCCGCCGCCCCCTCTGTCGCTCTAACGACAACCACGGGAACGGAGGCGTGATGGAGCGCAGTTCTCCTCCGGTGACGGGTCACTTCAGCCCCAGGGACCTGCTGCTAGGACGGGGCCAAGGCTTGACCCCGCCCCTAGACAGCCCGGAGCGCCGCCGCCGCTCTGCAGCTGTGACCATGACGGTCAGCCGACACGATTCTCTGCGGAGGCCGGAGGACACACCTATACGACGCTCCAACAGCGGGCAGCATGGCTTTGGAGACTCCCATCGATCCCGAGCTCTCGACCCCGACGCGCTGGCACAGGTACGCCTAGAAAACATGTAACGTGAGATGAATATTGAAAAAAATCTTTGTTTTCATTGCATGCAGGTGTCACCAGACTGGAGGGGGATCTGAAAACAGACAGCAGAAATTCACCTACCTATCTCTGATTGAAATCCTAAATCCACGGTTGAGTAACACTTTTATATATCAGTGAGCAAGTGACACTGATGGTATCAGACTCTAAAAATTCTCAGCTACGACTCTGCCAAATCTGAACAGCAACAATGACACATCCATTTTAATCACAGTAGTACCACAACGCCTCTTGAGTGAGCTCCATGCTTCTCACAGTGTCGCCAGTGGGAGAAAATACAACCCAGTTCTGGACAGCAAAAAAATAAAAAAGCTTTAAGGGATTTTATATCGAATTGCTTCAAACTGGTCCTTCTTGTGACACGCTATAAATTCTTTAGTAGCTCTAAATTTGTGGTTTCAGTTTTCTAGAAATTTTACTTGGATTTTTTTACTCCTTCAAAAAGTTTGCTGTTTCTTAATTTCTCTAATATTTAGACAAAATTCAAATCATGAGGTCCTCGTATGCGAAGCAATCCTTGTGAACGAAACACTCTGGTTCAGGCAGTTTTTTTTCCACTCTTGCTCTGTATGACATCATTAGGGGCCGTTTTAATCTGGAGGCGAAAGTGAATGGGGGTCTTCTTTGAGGTCGAAATGCTTCCATGTTAAGTCAGAACACCAACAGGTTCCAGAAAGTGATCAATCATGCAGAAATAATATATTTGTGTTATTTTTAAAAAAGTAAAATCTTATCTGTTACGTTATTTGTCTCAAGATTCAGTCAGAGGTTTTCATGATTTACTACAGAAAGATACAGTTCGACTTAAGACTCTACCTTCCAAACTGTGAGTGTGTGTTTGGCTTTTAATACAACACTCTCATTCAGAAAGTTTTTTGTACTCTTGGCTCTGTTTGTGAGGGGCAGCCAATAGTGAAAAAAGCACATTTAAAGGAGAGGAGGTAAAATGGTTTGTTTCAGAGTAAAAAGTCATTTTCTCTGGCCAATACTGAGATAATTACTTTTACCATGATTACTCACACTCTGGAAAAATGTGGATTTATTAAACTTTCAAATAAATTGTCTTTTTAATTAAGTTGATTTAAATGAACTGTGCTAAATTGAATGAATACGTTTTTTGGCAGATAAAGGAAACAAGAACATTACTGCAGCACAATAACAGCTGCATCTTGATTTTTCTCGTTTTAATAATCATAAGTTAAATTAGAATTAACTGATTTGTCAAAATTAAATTACTTTTACAAGCCTAAGAGAGGATAAGATAAGTAAGGATTATTTTAAGCTCTGAATATGGAAAAGCTACTTTCCAGCAATAATAGATGGAGCTGGAAAAGAACGTAATAGGTCCCCTAAAATATACATGTATTAATTTTTGAAGAATCATCCAAGGAACCAAAATCTAACTTGATGTGTGAATGCATTCATTTAAAACTGTTAACTTATTCTTCAATCATCCTCTCCGCCTGCAGGACATCGAGGAGACCGTGAGTGTGGCTTTGGGGGAGTTGAGGCAGTTGGAGCGACAGGGCTGCCGTCCGGCCCCCGACGTGGTCCTGGACACCCTGGAGCAGATAAAGAACGGCCCCATCACCACCTGCTCCTCCGAGTCTCCCAGCCCGCACAGCACCCCAAGCACACCAGGCACACCGGGAACCCCCGGCACCCCCGGAACTCCCGGGACGCCCGGTACCCCAGGCACCCCAAGCCCCCTGAGTCCTCTGAGCCCCATCAGTCCACTTCCTGGACCTCCATCTGGACCTCCCAGACCTGCCAACCCATCCCCTGACGCTCTGGGTTCCTTCAAGCCGGTGGCAGCCGCTCGCATCGGGGCTCCGCTGCGACCACCTGCCCTGAGACCCAAACCTATGGTTCCACCTAAAAGCAGCACCCCGCCTCTACCCCCGCCACTGGACAAATCCTGCACCATGTGAGCCAAACCAGGCCAATAAGAGGCCGAATCAGGCCTACCCGGGCCAAAAATGGGCCAGAAGAGGAGATCAGGGTACTGCTTAATGTTTATAATCAACATGAGGGTAGAAATGGTAGGAAAGACGAAAAAGGCTTTTAATGTAGTAATAAAATATAATATATGACATGACTTATGATATGATATGCCATGATATTTATGTGTTGTCAGGTTGGTGTGTACTCTCTTGGTGTGTAGGGGTTTACTTTCTCCATGTATCGAAGCATTTATCAAAGGTTAGCTAAAAGAACTGCTGATGCGGAGATGCAAGTACGAGCGTGGGCGGGGCTTCCTGTGTGAGATCGTAATCAGAGAGAGAGAGAGAGAGAGAGAGAGAGAGAGACGCGTGGGGGGTGTGGGGGGAGTTGGGGAGTGTAGTTCAGCTCCAGTAAAACTGTAGTTTAAGTGATGTGACTGTTGCCAGAAAAAAAAAGAAGAAAAAAAAGAAACGAACACGATTGGATGCTGTATCCAGGACAAGCGACTCGATTGGGAAGAGGACGCGGCAAACGATGGTTCAACAACGTCTGCAGGACTTTATAATTTATTTTTTTAATTTTTTCACTCGGTTCAGCTGCTAAGCTCACTTGCACCTCAAAACCACGAAAACGCCTCCTGAGGTCGTCAGTGAAAGAAAACTTATTTAACCAACGTCCAGCTACTTAATGAATGTTTCCTGTATTTTAACGACTGTTCAGCCATCTATTGAATGTTCGGCGAGCCGCGGCGGCAGCTCGCTAAACTTTTTAACAGCCTTCTTGTGTTTTCAGACGGGGGAACCTCATGCCCAGACCGGAGCTTCATTCAAACAGGGTGGTGGAGTGAGTGGTGGAGTTTGGTTAGAGCTTTTTCTGGGACGGGTAGGGGATGGGGTGGTTGTACGATTTTGTTGCTGTGTGTTTGTGAGTGGTTGTAAGTGTGTATCAAGGAGCATCAACGCCAAGTTAAGAAAAAAAATTATGTTTATTTTTTAAATTTTGGGAATAGAGTTGAAAGGTGATGAAGTGTTTGTGAGCTATAAGAGAAAAACTTCAGAGTGACTGAAAATGCTTCGTAAGTGTGATGTAATCTACGTGAGAATCAGAATCAGAATCAGAATACTTTATTAATCCCTGGGGGAAATTATTTTTTGTTACAGTGCTCCATTTTAAACCAACATTAAGACAAGACAGACAATACACTAACTAAGAATAAGTGAGGTGTTCTGTAGACCGACAGTTTTATTCTGATACTCAACTTTAAGGTTCTTAGTCAGGTCATCGTAGTCTAAGGAGCTTCTGTTTATTCTAAACTGTATTTCCCATTGATTATGGAAAACGTTTGAGTTTATTCTCAACATTTTATTCTCAATATTTCTACTTTACTCTGAAAATTAGTATTACCAGTTTATTCTCAGTTTATTTGATTATTGTGGGGTCCTTCCCTTACAATATAAAGCTGAACTGAATTACATTAAATTTCGAACTTGAAATTTAAGCTTTATCCTGAAAATTTTAACTGTATGCTCAAAAGAGTATTTCAGATGTATTCTTGAAACATTAATTTCGTGCTGTCAGGGGACCAACAGCCCTCCAACAGCCAAACCCATCTGTTCTCTGATTGGATTGCTAATATGTGATTGACATGACATTGACCAATAAGCTGAAAGGAAGAAAAATTGGCTGAAAATTTGTATGTGTGAGTTGAAAGTCACATACAGCCAGGGAACCTGAGTGCAGAGTTTTACACCTAGCTTTTTGCTTTGTATCTGTAGCCAGACCTTAACAAAAAATGTGTAACTTGTGTAAATATTTTACAAACACAAATCCTTTTTACACACGTAAATTCTCATCTGTGTTTGCACAGACATAAAATTTTCACATATTTTGGTTTACAAGGTTACAAAACTCAGTTCACAAATACGCATTTGATTTACAAGTACAAAATATTTATGACCACAATTTGAGCCCATAGTTATGGTGTTAACGTCATTTTAACAAGATTAACGCTCACAGCACTAATTTATTTTATTCCCAAATTTGACTCTCACATTTTGTCTGAAAATTTATTCTCAGAATAGCATTTCAACTTTCTTCTAGAATAACCATTTCTAGTTTATTCTCAACATTTCTGGCTTGAAATGTTAACGTTATTCTGATAACAATGTTGCAACTCTTTATTTTCAATTTAAATTTTCTTCTCAAATCTTAGTTCTGGAAATTGTGTTTATTCTCAGAATTTCAACATTATTCTCAGAACAATAACTTTATTCTGGAAGATTTTGACTATTCTCAAAATCTCAAATTCCTTCTCAGAACAGTATGTCAAATGTATTTTGGAAATAGTACGCTTACATTTTGACTTCTATAAAAATCTATTCTCAGAATAGTGTTTCAGCTTTAATATGGACGCTTTATTTTGAGTTTATTCTCAAAATGTAATTCTCAGAATATTGACTTTATTCTGAAATTTCTGACTTGTCCTCAAAACAGTATTTCAGCTTTAGTTTTTCAGGTTTACTTTTAAATCTTGACTTTCTCAGCATAACATCTCAACTTTAATAAAGATATTTTATTTTGAATTTATTCTCAAAATAATGTTTCAGATTTCTGCCATATCAAACGTGCAGAGCTACTCACTGTGGTGATTAAAGGAACAGCTGAAAGTAGCTTCCGTTTCAATTTTGTTCCAGAAATGGTGCTTTAGGTTTATTCTTGACAGTATTTTTAGTTTTAAAATGGGATTTTGAAATTAGAATCAAGACCAACCCTGTCCCCGTAATCCTTAACTTCTAACCGCACAGTTTTTATAATTTCCAGCATTTAGCAAAACTGACTAGATTTTTCCTACACAAGTAGTTTGTTTTGATCCTTAAATTATTTCAACTCTGTTCTGATGTTACAGCTTCATTCCTCAAGTTTCGACTTTGTTCTGCAAAATTAAAGAGAATTTCTTGTAATATTTTTTTTTCCTCGGTGTGACCCTGATACTCCTTGTAAAGTGTGTGTGTGTGTGTGTGTGTTCTGCTTGCCTGCCCTTGTTCTGCTCCCTTGTAAGTGCAGAAGTACTAGAATAGCATTAGATAATAGATAATTCATGCCTGCCAGGAGTGCCAGAACACGCGAGTGGAAGTTGGGGAAAACGAGTGCAAAAAGCATGCCACTATCTGTGTGTTTGTCAAAATACTGGTTTACCTGCTCGTTACACTGAAGTCACTAGTTAACCTTAAACTCACAATAAGCTAACAGGGTGGGGCTTTGTGTGTAAACGCCCAAAAACACTTGAACAGCACACTGAATGTGGCCTCCAACTGGGCTGTGAGTGTGGTGATTAAAATGAAACATGACGTGCTGAGATAGGCTGTGGATGCACATCTGTGAGTGTGTGTGTGTCTGTGTGTGTGTATGTGGAAGTGCCTTTTTTTAAAATCCTTTTTTGGAAGTTGTGAATCCACTCACGCATGTCCTGAGCGAAGAGCAGCAGCACTCCGAATGAAATAATCATAAAGTGTTTAGTAGATTTCTGAATTATGAATTCTAGCATTAACCCATTGTGAACATTGCACTTTGATGTATAGGATTGTGTACTTGGCATGTAGCATCATAACATGTTGGTGCATTTTAACTCAAAGGGAGGTTTCTTTGAATGTGTTTGATAATAAAGGAAATGGTTTTTGTCTGTTAGTGTTGCTGTATTTGAAAACTGAGCCTCCTAATGATGAGCTCATATAGCCAAATGGATTGTATCAATGTGTTGTATTTATATTATAAATAAACCTAAACTAGCATTCAAGCCTCTCATCGATTTTATCCTTTCCTTTGCCCTGTTCTCCCACTCAATAAACTTCCTGATGTGTTCAGTAAATTGCTGCCATTTAACCCTTTCATAGTTCTTTTTCCACTATTTCTCCAAATGTCGTTAACACCAAATTGTGCGCCCACCATCTGAAAGTTGCAGCAGAAATTGAGTTTTTGGTGAGTCTGTGGCTTCAGTTTCCTCTTCTTAGTTGACGGGAGTGGTACCTGGTTTCCCCTTTAGCTGCAAGGTTCAACCGGTTTTGCTTTCAGAGAATCTCTTCTGCATACTTTGGTTGCAGTGAGTGGCTATTTCAGATACTGTTGGCTTCCATTTTCCTCTGACATCACCAAGACATTTTTGGCCAGAAACTGCCGCTCACTGGACATTTTCTCTTTTCAGATCTTTGTTTGTAAATTTTAAAGACAGTTGTGCAGGAGAGCAGATGGGCAGTTTTAGGCTTTGTTCAAAGTCCATTAAATCACATTTCTCCGCTATTCGGATGTTTAGCTTGAACTTCAGGAGGATTGTTTTGACTGTGTTCGAATGCTTAAATGCACTGGGCTAATAAAAGGGCCAGTGGGTGTATGTGCATTAGTAAATGAACACTCTTTCATTTTTAATCTCAGACGATACTCACAAAAAATGTATTTTATTCTCCTCTAAAATATTGAGCTTTCTGTTCCAGTGATGGATATTCCTGTTAAACATAGCCAAAATTTCACATAATGAGATCACTTTATGTGCAGTGAGCCAAAAGCTTCACAGGTTAAACTGTCTGGTCTCGAAATGATGTCACATATCCTTATTGTAGTGATCTCAGCACATAGCTGAGCACTGCAGTCCCGTACTGTGAGAGGCAACCAATCAGAACAAAGTTGGTTCAAATAGGGGGAGGAGCCAAATCAGCTGCAGCAAAGCAGAGTTTAAAACAAATAAGGATATTAAAAATAAATAAATAATACAAAAAAATATATATGTAAAAAGTAAATATTGAAACTTTACTGTTTTACATTTCAAATCTTTATTTAAACTGTATTAAGCACAACAAATGTAATGTATAACGAATTAAAACATAAACCTGTTAAAACCGCATGATGCCAAATAATTAAAAGGCTCTGAGCACGAGCAGTGCTGTGGTGGTCATCCTGTCACGGTCAGGTCAAATAAATTCAGAGCACCTAGAATCTCTTTGGTCTGGAACATTTTTGGCAAACTGAGAAAGCAGCAAAAAGCGCCAGCTGGACCACAGAAAACGCCGGACCATGTAAAAATTTAGCGTCTTGTCGATGTGCAGTTCAGCCCTTTGACCCGGGTTTGAGGGTGCTGAAAGGCTTAGAGTTCCGAAGCGAGCCAGAAATCTCCTGCAAGAAGCCGGTGAGGTGCAGATCCTTCTCAGACTTCCTTCCGTCAAAGATGACGACAAGCGTAAAGTGCGGCTCCGGCCGCGTCAGGTAGTATGTGCTCTGGACCTTGTCATCATAGAAGTGCACCACTTTGTCCAGAGTGTTGAGTTCAGCGGCGCGGTCTCCCATCATCATGATGACGTTGGGCCAGTGTG